CACGACCTGAACGCAGCATGACCTGAACGCAGGACGACCTGAACGGAACACGACCTGAACGCAACACGACCTGAACGCAGCACGACCTGAACGGAACACGACCTGAACGCAACACGACCTGAACGCAACACGACCTGAACGCAATGTGACCTGAACGGAGCATGACCTGAACGCAGTGCGACCTGAACACGATGCAACCTGAACGCAACACGACCTGAACGCAATGCGACCTGAACGGAGCATGACCTGAACACGATGCAACCTGAACGCAGCTCGACCTGAACGCAGCACGACCTGAACGGAACACGACCTGAACGCAACACGACCTGAACGCAGCGCGACCTGAACGCAACACGACCTGAACGCAACACGACCTGAACGGAGCACGACCTGAACGCAACACGACCTGAACGCAACACGACCTGAACGCAACACGACCTGAACGGAGCACGACCTGAACACGATGTGACCTGAACGCAACACGACCTGAACGCAACGCGACCTGAACGCAACGCGACCTGAACGCAGCACGACCTGAACGCAACGCGACCTGAATGCAGCACGACCTGAACGCAACGCGACCTGAATGCAGGGAAATAAAGAAGAAAATTCCCACCAAAAAACTCAGAAACTTCCAGATTAATTTCACTCCTTTACAAGAATAAAACTTTTATTCCAGGAATAATAAGATCATAATATCAGTGATGTCATTAAAGCTGATATCTTTATCGGTTCTGGGTTCGGTTCTTTCCCTGTTCATCAGACGGTTTCTCACAGCCCAAACAGAGTTCTAGAAGAGGTTCTGTTGTTTTCCAGACTGCCTGTTCAAGGTGTGTCCGATGAGCCGCTACTCGGCCCAGAAGCAGTACTGGAAGGCCAAGCAGGCCAAACATGAGAAGGACAAGATCGCCGACGTGGTTCTGCTGCAGAAGCTGCAGGTAAGGGGCTGGGTAGGCAGAGGAGGTTCTGCTGGGTCTGGTTCTGGTTCTGGTTCTGATCTGGTTCTGTTCTGGTTCTGCAGCACGCGTCCAACCTGGAGCAGAAGCAGAATGAGACGGAGAACAGGAAGGTCCATGGCGACGTTGTCAAATATGGAACCGTCATCCAGGTAACCGGCGTTTCCTGCTTCCTCTGAGGCTCAGCGAACGCAGCATGATGACATGCTGAGGTTGGACCCGGTTCTGGTTCTGGTTCTGCAGCAGAACCCTGCAGAGCTTCTCTCCATGCCATCAGATCTGTCATCTTCATCATCAGAACATCTGAATGAGGACAGAAAACATTTCAGTCCGGATCTGGACCAGATCCAGACCGGTTCCAGACTGACTGATCTGGTGGTTCCGTTTCTGCTTCCTGGGTCGGTTCCACTCAGCTGATCCAGAATCGTTTTGTGGCCACTCCACCAGCCATGATGCTCACATGGCCTTTTCTTTCCTTCAACGAGTTTAAATGTTTTTAATCTGAAATGGATCGGCTCCGGATGGAAAGTGATCGATATGTATTGATAACAACTGTTGGTTCCTTTAAATCAGGACAGCTTCCCTACAGAGGTCAAAGGTCATGTTTGTCTTCATAGGAATATAATTCACCAGATTATGAATGTTTAAACGTTCCTTTGTGAATGTGGTCGTGCGGAGCAGCTCTGACTCATCAGTATCCTACCTGCAGTCAGTTTGGAGAATCCGGTCGTCATGGCGATGTCGAGTCAACAGCGGCTCATGAATGAGTTTTACTCACTTTTTACTGGCCGGACGGGGCGCTCCCTGTTTCCATGACGACCATGGCATTCACCGTCGTTTCCCGACATCAAAGAGCCAATCCGAAGCATCTGGGATAGGAACCGGGTCGGTAACCATGGTTACAGAGCCGCAGTCCAGACCAGCAGGTTCAGGGGGTTAGCTGTTAATCCGGATCCTAACATGGTTTCAGGGTATAGATTATCTGTTAATCTGGAGCCTAACCTGTGTGTCTACCAGGTCCAGATTATGTTAATCTGGGCTGATCAGAGGTTATCAGGGCAGCAGGAATCCCTCCCCGCCGCGTCTCTCATCTGGAGAACTTTACTGCTCTGAAGCTCCGTCAATATTGACTCTGAGATAACGGCGCGTCAACACACAGGTGTGTGTGTGTGTGTGTGTGTGTGTGTGTAGGTGTGTGTGTGTGTGTGTGATGAAGGAGGGGTTAAAGGAAATGCCTGATGTTTCTGCCAGTGGAGATTTAAACTGGGCGGTTATTATGGGATGGTGAGAGTGGAGCTGTGAGATTAACGACACGCTCCGGATTAAAGAGGCAGATGAACTAAACTGAGATGATAAAACTACCAGAAGAGCTAATTACAGGGGAGCGGATGCAGATGGGAGCAGATCGGTGGTTAACCCCAAACACAAACACAGAGGAAAAAACCTGAACCGTGAGCAGAAATATGAAGGAAGCTAACAGCTAACAGCAGCGGACTTTCCTGGAGCACTGACTGACCCGGTTCAGACCCGGTTCTCTTTGGAGTCGGACCAGGAGTGGTGGAGTTGGGCTGTGATGCGTTCACTGACTCAGAGTTCTTTCATCACTTCATTATTATTGTTTTCATTGTTTACGTCCAGATTCTTCTTCTGCTGCAGAATTATGGCGCATGTCTCACGTTAGTAACGGATAAAACGGACATGAGCGTTCAGACGCTCTGAAAACGATCCGAGAACATTTAGGGATGGAAGTGGAGAGATTGGATGTGTGGGATAAAAACGTCAGGAGTACAATGCAGAAGTCAGATATCGATCATAATTTCTGCCATGTGAACGCAGCTTTTCTCTCTCTCTCTCCACATGTTCGTCTCATGTGCAGCTTCTCCACATGAAGAGTAACAAATATCTGACGGTGAACAAGCGTCTGCCGGCGCTGCTGGAGAAGAACGCCATGCGCGTCACGCTGGACGGGACGGGGAACGAGGGGTCCTGGCTCTTCATCCAGCCGTTCTGGAAACTCCGGGCCAATGGAGACAACGTAACAAAATACATAATACATGACCTCCACGTGACCTTTACGTGACCTCCAATTGACCTCCTCGTGACCTTTACGTGACCTCCACGTGACCTTTACATGACCTCCACGTGATCTTTACATGACCTCCACGTGACTGTGGAGGTCATGCTGTTTGTCATGCTGTTTGTGCTGCAGGTGGTTGTGGGAGATAAAGTCATCATGAACCCGGTGAACGCCGGCCAGCCGCTTCACGCCTCCAACTACGAGCTCAGCGACCATCCAGGCTGCAAGGAGGTGAGACTGCACTCAAACCGAACCGAGCAACAAAAAATCATTAAACTTTGGTAAAAGAGACTAAATGAGTCCAACAAAGAGACAACAGAAGCTAAATGTCTAAAGAAGATTAAAAAATAACCGTAAACATAACATGTAATGATAAAAACATAATTTCCTCAACCTGCTGCACTCTGACGTGTGTCTTCCTCCCCCTGCAGGTCAACTCTGTGAACTGCAATACGAGCTGGAAGATCAACCTGTTCATGATGTTCAGCGACCACCGAGAGGAAGTCCTGAAAGGAGTGAGTCAGCACAGGGCCAGCTCACCTGTCTGAAGAAATGAACCCTGGGAAACGTAGTTTTAACCCCGGCTGTCTCCCAGGGCGACGTCGTCCGATTGTTTCACGCCGAGCAGGAAAAGTTTCTGACCTGCGACGAATACAAGAGCAAGCTGCACGTCTTCCTGAGGACGACTCTGAGGCAGTCGGCCACATCGGCTACCAGCTCCAACGCCCTGTGGGAGGTCGAGGTACACACACACACACACACACACACACACACACACACACACACACACACACATGGATGCACACACACACACACACATTGATACACACACACACACACACACACACACATGGATGCACACACACACGCACGGATGCACACACACACACACACACACACACACATGGATGCACACATGGATGCACACACACACACAC